ATATGTTTAGTTTGCTTTCCTTTAATGCAATCTATACAAACATCAAAATCAGTGAAGTCTAAATGTTCCAAAATATTATCCTTTACTAATCTTTCAATTCTTTCCTTATAGATATGCCCTAATTGTCTATGTCACAATATAGAAGATCTTCTATTATTGAAACTATGTTTCAATCCAACACTTGATTACAAGATCAATAATATCTTTTTAAACTCAAGATCCAAATTATTTCTGTATAAACCATCATATGGAATTCTAGAACCAACTTTTATTGAATCATAAAATATACTAAGTTTGTCATTACCAAAAGAAAGACAATATCCTAACACATCAATTCTAGATAGGAAAACTAAATTTCTAGAAATTGTAGGAACATAACACGTGCTAACAAGATCCATCATATGACCCGTCTCTAAGCGTAGACGATAAGTTTCCACTGATATCACTTTCGCTTTAAGACAATTTCCCATAATGATGAATCTTTCATATTCTTTTGGTTTCCGAATTGAAAGAAATCCCTACATATTATTAGTAACATAAGTTGAAGCACAGAATCAATCCACTAAGTGCTAGAAGGAACTTTTGTAATATTTGATTCGAAACATACAAAGGTCGAGTTAATATCTTTCTTTTCAAACCAAGTCTTGTGTTTAATGCAGTCCTTCTTCATATGTCCTTTCTTGTCAAAAAAAAGTATTTTACTATAAAAGTTTTCTTTTCATTAGTCTATTTAACATTTTCAAACCTAGCAAATTTCTTTGATGGATGATGCTTCAATTTTCTTCCTTGAGTAGCAATCATAACATTATATGAACTTTCCTACTTTAATCTCAATTCTTCTTGAACACACATACCAGTTAACTCATTCAAATCCCACTTATCCTTATTTGTATTATAGTGAATCTTGAATGGGCCAAACTGAGAAGGAAGATAATTGAGAATGAACTACACGAGGAAAGACTCATCAACATTCATGCCTAATGCTTTCAGTTTTGTAGCTTTGTTAGCCATATTGAGGATGTGATCCTGAATTTCTCGAGTGCCATCATATTGAGTCATAGTCAGTTCTTTCATTAGTGTGTCAGCCAATGACTTATCAGCATATTTAAATCTGTCTTCAATAACCTTTAAATATTCATGTGCATTAGTTGTAATCGGTAATGAAGTCTTTATATTATTTGCAATCGTCATTCTTATGAACATTAAACTAAGCCTATCAGATCTTTCCAAGCCTTCATTTTATTAACTTATTCTATAGTATTTTAATCAGTTAAGTCTGAAGGCTTTTTAACAAGCAATGCTAAATCAAGATCTAATACACCCAATGTAAATTTCATATATTCTAACCATTCTGAATAATTTGATCTAGAGAGTATAGGGACACTAGAAGCATATGAATGTATGGATGGAAGTACCACTATAAAATATAAAATAATATTAATGCTTTGAATTTTTTAAAAATTTGATGAACTATTAATATCATCTATATTACACCTTTGGGTGAAATATTGATATATTTAGTGTTCACTCAAGATTATCTATGGAGGACTGATACCATCCTTATTCAATAGTATTGTTAACAACCTTTGGGTATACAACCTAAGTTGTAAGGATATCCAAAATATTATCATCCTACCCATCACATAATTATTAGAAGTAGATTCTTCTTTGGGATTATCTAAATCTCCTAATTATATATGTCATTATGAATATTATTTCTTTAATATCATTTAGGACTGATTCCTTAATATTACTTTATAAGTTATTGGTCTAAATCACTTTGATAGCTACAAGACCAATATAATAATATAAAATATAATTTAAAATATCTTATAAATTATAAAACTTTTATTATAATTCACATCACAAAAGTCTATCATTCCAGGCCATTTTGGCAACTATAAGTCAAATAAAACTTAAGAAGCTGAATTACAAATAATATACATCAAATTTTTTAAATTCAATTTATACGTAGTTCAATAATAGAATAACAACCATAATAATTATTGAATATTAATCAGCAAAAGAAAACTCATATAATAATCATGATAATAAATAAATCGTGTCTTCATGTGAAAGATGAATATTATTTCATGATTTCAAATATATACATGTGAATAACTAAATGAATATCTAAAAATAATAATTAGATTTTATTTACCATGTGTAAAAATATAATCAATAATTCATATTAAAAAACTATAAAAGTGAACTGTAATTTATAGTTTTTTTAATCAAAATTAAATCCAATCAAATAATCAAAATATAATCATGATTAAATTTAATTATAATTATAATAAATCATATTTATCAATTTTATAATTGAGAATGTAAATTAAAAATTTTTAATTTCATAAGGGTAAAATTATAAATATTTGACAGAATAAAAACTAGAATTATGAGATTTGTAAAATGTAGAACTATCAAAAGAATTAAAGGATATTAATAAAATACAAAAGGGGAAAACTGTAATTTGACTAAAGAGAAACCCTGGGGCAAAAACTGTAATTTTGCCAAAACCTTACTGTGCGTTGCCGCCACCATTTGCGCTTGCGGCGCTGTTGTTGCCGTTGCTAACATGCGGCCGTTGTGGCGGTTCTTGCCCGCGTGCGGGGCTACCGACGCTTGCGCACGATTCGCCGCAGCTATTGCTAGTGCGCGACTACCGCCTCGGCGCGGCCTACCTGCGTGCGGCCGCCACCTGACGTGGTTGTCTACCCTCGTGCGACCGTCGCATGGACGCGGGTTCTGCCCACATGCGGCCATCGCATGGGTGCGGTGCTGCCGCCTGCTGCGCTGTGGCACGCACACTACCCAGCGTAGCAGAATCATTGGTTGTACATAGCAAGATCAATAATGACCATTGCCGCTTCGTGATCATTGGAGAATAGGGATCATTTATGCATCGTAAACAAAAATAATAGATCTAATGTATTTGATCTCAAGAACATAAGCTCTGATACCAATTGTAAGCATAAAATCTATAATATGCTGTCTTAAATATGAAAATAATCTTTTATACTAAGATTGAAATCAAATAATTAGATCTGATTTAACGATGTGTACCTTTTGATGTCATATGAAAAGAGATCTCTGTTTGATTTGCAAAGGCACCGTCTTTAATTCAAGATTGTTATCAATCTGCAAAGAAAAACTAGATCCTTCTCTTCTCTTCTTATCTTTTCACAGGACCACATAGATCGATGGTTAGAGAGAAGAGTTGAGGGAAAAGTTAAGAGAAAGATTGTAATCCCTCAACTGAGATAACCTCTCTATTCCTCTCGTTTCTTTCTTATTTCTTATTTTCGATCCTTAGATGTCCTGTTTATATATAGACGAGAGCAAAGAGTCTAGGATAAAGAGTCTAGGATAAATAATTAAGAAAGTTTCTCTCATATTTTATCTCCTAAGAAATCCTAAAGTAAACTTCTTTCTATTAACCAAAATATTTTATCATAATTTAATTAATTATATTATATTTTTTTTATTTAATTATAAAGAATCATAAAATCTAATCGTACCAGCTAGCAGCATTCAGTATCCATTCACTATTCCTGTAAATTTCATTTCGTGACACCCGGATCCTGTGAATTGATATGCCTTCAGATTGGACAGCTCTCTACCACGCGTCCCAAAGAGAGAAGTCTGAAAGCAGCCGAGAAGTACGTCAGAGACAAACGGGGCCTGCCTCGCGAGGCATTCCAAGTGGCCTTCATACTCCAAAAGATCGATGTGCCCCGCTCCAAGGGTCATCTGAGCCTGGTCGATTCTGATGTCGACAACAACCCTTCCGTTACCATCAACTACTTCAGCCATCCCGATGACCTCCAACAATGCGTGTCCGAAATCAGGAGCATCGAGCAGATCGTGCGGACGAAGCACTTCGCCGACCTGACCGTGGACGACGCCTACATGATGCAGAAGTTGATCAACATAAGCGTGCCGGCGAACGTGAACTTGATGCCCAGCCGCACCGACGACACCGCATCCCTGGAGCAGTTCTGCAAGGATAGCATGGTTACCATATGGCGCACTACTATAGGGGCTGCCATGTGGGGAACGTGGTCGACGGTGAGTACCGTGTTCTGGGTGTGTTCAAGCTGAGGGTGGTGGACAGCTCAACGTTTCACCGATCCCCCGGAACTAATCCTCAGGAAACTGTCATGATGATGGACAGGTACGTATGCGTCCCAGTGTACCATCAAAATTGATATATAGAGAGTAGAATCACTGCCGATTATTAGAAAATATAGATAGCATCTTCACAACCGATATATATATATATATATATATATATATATTGCAACGAGTTATGCGAACAGATCTGCCTTTCTAAAGTGGTGCCTGCTCTGGTTTAATGTGCAGATACATGGGAGTGAAGATACTGAGGGAGAGGCTGGGAAGAGCAGCAGGGGATCTGTAGCTGTGTGAGCCGATTACCGATGGACGTGCGTTCGGTTGAATTGTTGGGGAAGAGCGTAGTCTTCGTCAATTTGTTGGGAAGTTGGGACATCCGGAAGAAATGTAAAAGGAAGAAAAAGATATTACCTAGAAAGGGATCGAGTATATATTACTTGTGTCTTGCAAATTACTAGTGAATTGTAGTGAGAGATTTGCTGCTGTTTGATTACGGAACTGAAACATCTATCGAACGTGAACCTGTTGATTGGATATCACGCCGGAGGTCCTTCCTTGACTACTGAAAATACAGAGTCACCACCGAGAAAAGGATGTAAAGCTATCATGCATAGACTGTACCAAGTTATAACCAAGAATTAAGGCTAGCATTCGTCGGACGTCCTTGACCATTGAAAATACAGAGTCATGGATTACATGACTATTGATTATGGGACGTAACGCTAGCATGCATTTGCTTCGAATATAAAGAACCAAGTTATAACCAACCAATGGATTGAACCGGCACAAACCGGAAGTGAAATCATGCTGATGGAAAATAATACTAATACTAATTGTTAACAATAATAATAGGCCACCCATCTTCAGGAAGCATCCCGACATCCTTCCAGGGCCGCCGAAAGCCAATCCGACACAGACGCTCGGATCTGCGACTCCACATGCATATCTAAATGCAGAGGTGTAACAGCGATCTGCACCGCATGAAAACAGTAACTGTTTAGATTTCTAAAAAGCGTGAACCCAAAGTTGCAGAAGCTGGCGAAGAGCACTCACATAACCATTCTTCAAGGCCCTGAAATCGAGATCTTCATCCGGATCTTCCTGTTGCATCTCAAGAAGCTGCCACGGAGAATCAAAATCGTAGTTAATTTCTCCAGTCATTCTACAGCATGCAATTTCCAAAGAAAAATTTACTAGGTGCCACGAAACGTCGAGTCCATAATGCAGAAGCTTAAGATACCTTAACCAGTCACCCACTCTGCTGGAAGCTGCGTATGTCTGCAGCAAAGTGGTCTCTTTTACGTACCAAAACTACACGAACATGTGTAATATAGTCGGACACTATCCAACGCTCCAAATTAGCTCAGACCACGTTGTGCGTATAGTGTGCGTGCCGTGTAATTTGTCTGAGAGAAGAACAACTAACGATGCGTAACTCTAGACGGAACAATTTCTTCACCACTTCTCTCTGGTCGGGTTTTCCAGCAGCTGCAACTGATTCTGTTTCCAGCATTTTACTTTGACCGCCGCTGCGGCGAGCTGCTCCCTGGAAAGAAGAGATTCTTCAGTAGAGAATAGAAATGTGCCCCAATGCAATTCCACAACATGGATACTGACCGCAGCAGAGGCATCTCGGTTAAGCTGTGCAAGCTGTGCACCGAGGCCTTGATTCATGGACATGAAATGGCCAGCAGGGTACCTATTTCTGGATACAGCTTGCCAACTGCGGATAGACCTCCAGAAGCTGTGTTTGGTTAACTTGAAGCCCTGCCAAAGATGTAAATGCAACAAGTCTTCACTGTCCGATATTAAAGAGGAACAAGAATAGCGGGGAAATTAACATCTATGCGTACGATATTACAGAAAGAACAAGAAGAATAGAAGATGCAGCGCCTGGAAAGTTTCTAAATCGAAAATTCACGAGCCCCCAGAGTTTTATTGTAGCAGACCTTATTTTTAGATCGAGCTGTGGGAATTTCTATGTTCAGCAGACATTTCCTGGGGAACAGACCCTTTTCGATGTCCCTCATCGCTGCCTTTATCAGAGGTAAACAAACTTCAACTGCATCCTTGAAATCACTTTCTCGACTCTCCTCCTTCTGCCTAATATGGGTTACCAAATTTGACCTGGTTTAATATGTAACAGCCGTTGAACAAACAAAGGTCAGAACGATGCGTTAGCATTGCTACAAAAGGTACTCCAATCATTATAGCCTCTCGAGCGCCAGCAACAGCACCAGAGTAAAACTAAATAAGATCCAGATCCACAGAAATTATCGAGATTTGATTCATAGTTATCTATCTAGATAGTTATCATGATTTAGTGGTTACAAGATGATTTCAATAACCACCTAAATCATGATCTAGTAGTTATAGGGTGATTTCAATAACTACCTCAATCTAGTAGTTATAGGGTAGTTGTTACTAGATCCTATAAATAGGACCGTAGTTCATGAAGCAAGTAAGATAGAGTGAGTCTGTGTACATTTGGTATCTTGTAAGTGTTCTTATCAATCCTCTTGTTTTTTAATACTATATCAGTTTTCTTGAGTCGAAAGACTTCTTTTTATTTGCATCGTAGTATTCTGTTTTTTCCTATTAGAGCCTAGTTTCAATCTGAACTGGGTATTATGGCTTTTAACGGCAATTTCATGTCTCAACCCCTTATCCATCTTCTTGGGCAAAAGCTATGAATTTTGGAATATCAAGATAAAGACTTTATTTAAGTCTCAAGATCTTTGAGACTTAATAGAGAATGGATATGTAGATTCAGATGACGAAATCAAGCTAAGGGAGAATAGAAAGAAGGACTCAAAGACATTGTTCTTCGTTCAACAAGCTGTACATGAGACGATCTTCTCAAGAATTGTAGCAGCGACAACATCAAAGCAAGCTTGGTTGATACTTCAAAATGAATTTCAAGGCTCAACAAGGGTGATTATAGTAAAACTTCAAACTCTCCGTCATGAGTTTGAAATTTTATTCATGAAAAGCAATGAATCGGTGTAAGATTTTCTTTTTCAAGTGACTGAAATTGTTAGTCAAATGAAATCTTATGGTGAACATCTTCCTGATCATATAATTGTTGTAAAAGTTTTGAGAAGTTTAACTCCGAAATTTGATCATGTTGTTGCCGCAATTGAGGAGTCAAAAGATTTATCTACTTATTCATTTGATAAACTAATGGGTTCCTTGCAAGCACATGAAGTAAAGTTGAACAGGTCACTTGAAAAAAGTCAAGAAAAAGTATTTGGGAGAGTTTTCTACTTCAAAAAAAGACAAAAAATCAGTAGGAAGAGGACGTGGCAGAGGAGGATTTCGTGGTAAAGGAAATGGAAGAGGAAGATGACACTTTGATGGGCATGATGAACAAGGGCAATCAAATTATGATAAAAAAAATTACAAAAGTGGAATTCAATATCACTATTGTAAAAAGTTTGGTCACATGAAGGCAGATTGCTGGAAAAGAGAAAAGCAAGCAAGCTATTTGGAGAAAAATGAAGAAAATAGTAAGTTGTTTATGACTCATTCACAAGTTCATAATCTCTCAAATGATATTTGGTTTCTAGATAGTGGATGTTCTAATCATATGTCAGGCATAAAATCAATATTTAGAGATATTGATGAGACTCACAAGTTGAATATTAGACTTGGAGATAACAAGCAAATCTAAGTGGAAGGGAAAGAAACAATTGAGGTAAGACAAATCAAGGGAAGGTAAAATACCTTGATAATGTTTTCTTTGTTCCTACTTTATCACATAACTTGTTGAGTGTTGGACAATTAGTAGATGATAGATATTTAGTAATATTTGATGATGGTTCATGCACTATTAGAGATAAAAAATCTGGTTTGATTATAGTAAATGTTTGCATGACATAAAACAAGATGTTTCTACTTGATGTGTCAAATATTGAAAGACATACGCTTATCACAACTCAAAAGAATGAGTCTAGTTTATGACATTTAAGATATGGACACCTTAACATTAAGAGTTTAAGGTTGTTAAGTAAAAAAGGAATGATTTTCGGATTGCCCAAGATTAATACACTTGATGTATGTGAAGGATGTATTTATGGCAAATAAAGTAAAAAACCATTTCCTATTGGAAGAGCATGGAGAGCATCCAATTATCTTGAATTAATTCATGCTAACTTATGTGGACCTATTAATACAAAATCATTTGGTGGAAGTCAATATTTTTTATTGTTTACGGATGATTATAGTCGCATGAGTTGGGTATATTTTTTGAAATTGAAATATGAAAACATTTGATAATTTTTGAAAATTCAAGGCACTTATAGAAAGACAAAGTGGTAGATATATAAAGATACTTCGGACAGATAGAGGTGGTGAATTTTTATCTAACGAGTTTAGTTTTTTTTATGAAGAAAATGATATTCATAGAGAATTGACAACACCATATACACCGGAGCAAAATGGTATAGCTGAACGTAAGAATCAGACTATCATTGAAATGGCAAGAAGTTTGCTTAAAGAAAAACATCTTCCAAATCAGTTTTGAGCAAAAGATGTTGCAACAGCAATTTATTTGTTGAATATTTCACCAACAAAGACTATTATGAATCGAACTCCTTTTGAGGCTTGGTATGGTATGAAACCAAGTGTTAGACATCTAAGAATTTTTGGTTGTATTGCTTATGCTTTGGTGAATTCACAAAATCATCACAAGCTTGAGGAAAAATCTGAAAAATATATTTTAATTGGTTATTCCTTACAATCGAAAGTATATCGATTATATAATCCTATTAGTGGGAAAGTTATTATTAACAGAAATGTTAGGTTTGATGAAAGGGCAAGTTGGAATTGGGAGACCAATAAAGGTGGAACACAAATGTAAATTCCAATAGAACTAGACACTCTGCAGAATCAAATGACAGATCCTGCTCCAACAAGTTAATCGTCAACCTCACCCAATAGCAGTTCAAATTCTGATTCCTCAGATGAAACCCTTCCAAGAAATTTCAAATCACTGACAGAAATTTATAACTCAACATTTGCTTTGTTAAAAAAGAGGAATGGAGAAAAGCAATGAAGGAGGAAATCAAGTCAATTGAGAAGAATGAAACTTGGGAGCTAATAGATCGACCGAAAGAAAAGAAAGTGATTGGGTTAAAATGGGTGTTCAAAACAAAATTTAAATGTAAATTATTTGGTTTCACTGAGAGTGATTGTGCAGGAGCTTTAGATGATCGAAAGAGTACTTCAGGCAAGTGGAGTCATAACAATGAAATATTATGGAACGAATGAACAAGTTGCGGATATCCTCAATAAATCACTTCCAATTCGAAAGCATGTTTATTTTATGTCATAAATTGGTGTATGCAACTATGAATCAAGGGGGAGTGTTGAGATTTGATTCATAGTTATCTATCTAGATAGTTATCATTATTTAGTGGTTATAGGATGATTTCAATAATCACCTCAATTATGATCTAGTAGTTATAGGGTGGTTTTAATAACTACCTCAATTTAGTAGTTATAGGGTGGTTGTCACTAGGTCTTATAAATAGGACCGTAGTTATAGGGTGATTTTACTTGCATCGTAGTATTCTGTTTTTTCCTTACTCCTCCATCGAAATGACAGGTGAGAAATCAAAAAGCTCACGATGATAAAGTGATAGCAGCATATGATCAGATGCGAATAGATTAATGGAGAGAACATTGTACGAAATATAGTAACGTGCTCAAGGCATGAACAAAACGTTTGACATGATCGGGTGTATCATAAGATCATAGTCATCCTAACCCTTTAACAGAACAATATGTAAAGCTTGATTAATTGACGACAAGCAGAGTTTCGATACTCACATCCGTTTCCCGCAATTTGGTCCCAAAACAGGATTTATATACTCTTAGAATTGTGATAAGAAAGATCCTGCGTTTTTTTTTTCTTTGAGACGATGGATGTATATACCAGTGCAGGATTGGACCAGGAAAACAATGCCCCGGACAAAGCCAAGGATATGCAATCAGCAGGATGTCCTGTTCGAGACGCAACATTCATATGCAAGATCTAATAGCCAGAAAACGCCGACCAACGGCCACTAGCACTATCTTTTGATGCACCAAATGGAGATGGACGTGGAAACAGAGAATCCCCGAAGAATACTCTTACCAGACTCAATACCTTTGGCGCCTTCAATCGGAGCGGACGTTGCTGCAAGCGTCCGATGAATTGTTACTGAATGAGCAGAGGCAGACATGTCCCTTCAAACATAAGTAATGAATATTACGACCATCGTGCAACAACACTGTCATCTGACCAAAAATTACGTAGCCGAGCAAGGCAAAGCGCTCGAAAGGAAAACCAACAAAGGCAAGTGTTCGACATCCGGGGAAGCTGATAAAAATAATGCTTTCGGTACAACCAATGCACGTCCCGTTGCGAGATCAAAGCCCGGAACCGAAAGCGGAAACAAGTGAATTGATGGAGCCCCGCGAGAAAGATGCAGAAAAGGAAACCAGAGAGCTCACGATTCCGGAGCGCAGACGTAGACGTCATACTGCCCGATGCGAACGAGCGCCTCCACGAGATGGGTGAGCCCCGGGGAGCTGATCCCGTCGGCGTTGGTCACCAGAACGACGGGCCTCCTCGGTCCATCCACGGCTGGGTCCGAATCAGCAGCGGCTTCGACCGGTGCCGCAGCCGAATCCCCCTCCACGCCATCGCCGCCGGGGGGCTTTCGTCCTGCGAGGTCGTTTTGGAGATTGGCGACGAGGGAAGGGGGCAATTGGCGGTTCCTTGTTGACGTCGGGCTCGTCGTCATCGGAGCTCTTGGAACCAAAGCAAAGAAAGGACGTGGCCTTCCGGGAAATCGGAAGCACAAGTAGATGGCTGGAAGTCGGTGAGAGCGCATTAGTACTATCGTATGGTAACGGCGGTTTGAAAGCCTACGTAGAAGACATGGGATAGATTGACTAGATCCGATCGTCCGCCACCAAGAACGCGGGGGGGGTAGGGGGGCGGAGGAGAGAGAGAGAGAGAGCGTCACAACATTTCCGAGTCAAAAGGTGAGAGAGAAGGTAGTGAACAGCGACACCGGCAGCTCTTAGTGACCAAATAAACGGCATTAGATTTTATTGTTTGTGAAACCTTGTTAATTAAGTTGACTCACTAATTATTTGTTTCTTCAAAATTATCTTAAATTTCAGTTACAATTTATATCTAATCTATTGAATCCCGGATTTTGATGATAAAATCAATTGATAAATCGATGAACTAATTAGTGTTTGAGAAAAATGACACAAGACAAACTTCGATAATAGAAAGGTAAATCGATTGAAGCAAAAGAATCATATATTCGGCCAGTGGTTCATATTAGAGATCGGACATCAAGCCAGAAGGATCGGATATTGCGCTAAGATCGGATATTGCGGGAGATTAACATGCCGATGGATCGGGTAATACGTTGAAGGAAAGGATGACTCACCGAAAGTTCGGACGAAGTACCGGATGAACTAATGATATGTCGGACAATGTAAGCTTCATGATTTGTAGTTGTTATGTCTTGATCGAAATAGTTTAGAGTTTAATTGAGTTGGCTTTGGGTATAACAATGCCAACTTAATTAGGAGTTCATTGAGCTTGAATCAAGGTTGAATTGGGCTATTGGAAGGCGAATTTAATGACCTAAGATTCGGCTAGGTTGTGGCATTTCTAGGTTAGGCGATGGTACCACTTGTGAGTTAGAAAGTACATAATGTACTTTTATAAAAAACCTGACGGTGGTACCACCAGGGTCAATCATGGTATCGCCCAGACTAATGGTGGTACCATGAGAACACAGTCTCTTAAGCTATGTTGAGCGATGGTACTACAAGTGCTCAGGTTGTCAAGTTGTGGTACCGCCTAGTATAGGCGGAGGTTATTGAATCTCAAATTTTGATGATGAATTCAATTGATGAAGTTATGATCTAATGTATGTTTGAGTGACGTAGGACTAACCTCGATCAAGGAAAGATAATTCGATTAAAAGCAGGAAGAATGAGACATTGGGCTATAGTAGAACATGTCAGAAGATTGAACGTCAGACGAGAGGAATGGTCGACATACCGGAAGGACTTCGTGCCATGAGTTCAAGCATAGGCTGAAGGATCGGACATTGTGCCAAGGAGATTGCAAGTTGCGAGAGGTCAACATGCTAATAGGGCAATACGCCAAAGAATCGGATAAAATGCTGAAGGATCGGACGAAGCGCTGAAGGATTGGACGAAGTATTGGATGAACCAATGACATGTCGGACAACATAGGATTCATGCTTGTAATCGATTGTGTCTAGATCAACTTAGTTTAGGTCTAATTGAGTTAGTTTTAGAAGTAACCCTACTAACTCAATTAGGGGCCAATTGGGCCCAAATTAGGGCTGAATTGGGCCTACTGGTTGGCTCATTCAATGACCTATAGTAGGGTCTAGCGGTGGAACCGCCAGAGGCTTAGTCTCCCAAGTACCACCCAAATTGACGGTGGTATCACCCAATGTCAAGTAGTGGTATTGCCCTAACAAGCGATGGTACCGCTAGAGCCTAGTCTCTAAGGTTGTCAGGCTGTAGTACCGCACAGACAAAGTGATGGTACTACTTAGTGTTAGTATCAGATTATAGGGAAATCTAGGAGTGATATTACAAGTGCAGTGGAAGAATAGAAAATAAATTCTTCAATTTTTTTATAAATTGTGTTCATCATCATGCGAAGATTGGTGCGCAAAATATGTAAAACCGTAAACTGCGTATATGAAAGTTTATGTTTTACCTAAGGAGATTGTATATCCCTGAATCCCTATAAATTTGTAGAAGAGGATGAAGGAGGTCAAGTGTCCTCTCTAGCGGTGATCCAAATAGTAGGGCTACGATGACGCTCCTCAAATCTCTAAGTCTGCTATCTAAGAAGGAGAAGGGGAGAGGAGAATAAGAGATAACAACTAAGGAAGCTCTAGTTGGTTCCCGTCTATTTATAGAGGCCTCCTGTTAACTTAACTCTAATGGATCCTGCCCTATTGGATATTAGTACTAGTCATAGGTGCCCTGCAAGGCAATCACGTGAGTAATGACACGTGTGACTTGACATATAATCTTTTTACTTATTATTATTATTTAGTATTTTATCACTTTATATTTCCTATTGTTGGAATATATTGTGATATCCATGGATATATACAATAGGAATCGGATCGTAGTGAGATCATGATAATGAAACTGATTCGTTTTTAAATATAGATCCTAAATAATCTCGGTCATAGGTTACTCAAGAGTGTTGGGAAATCTTGGGGGCCGACATTGTTGAATCTTGGATTTTGATGATGAAACCAATTGATAAGTGTTTATGATTTGATATGTGTTTTGAGTGACGGAGGATGCTTCGATCAGGATGAGACAATTAAAGCAGGAAGAATCATGTTGGGCTGGTGGAACGTGTCAAAAGATTGGACATCGAGCCAAAGGATTGGTCGACGTATCGATAGAAGGCTTCGAGCAATGGATTCGGGCATCGGGCCAAGAAGAGCGGATATTATGCCAAGGATATCAGAGTTGTAGAGGTCAATTAGCCGATTGGGCAATAGGCCACAAGAGAGGACGATGAGCCGAAGAATCGGACGAAGCGTCAATGGACCAATGACATGCTGGACAACATGATTCATGCTTAGTAATAATTGTCTAGATCGAAGTGTGTTTTGTTGAATCTCAAATTTTGATTATGAAACCAATCAATAAGTGTTTATATTTTAATCTGCATTTTGAGTGACGCAGGATGCTTCGATCATGATGAGACAATTAAAGCAAGAAAAATCATGTTAGGCCGGAGGAACATGTTAGAAGATTGGACGTCGGGCTAGTGGATCGGTCGACATATCGATAGAAGGCTTCGGGTCATGGATTCTGGCATCGGGCCAAGAAAAGCATATATTGTGCCAAGGATATCGAAGTTGTGGAGTCAACTGGCCGCAAGAGAGTACGATGCGTCGAAGAATCAGATAAAGCATCGAGGGACCAATGACATGTCGGATAACTTGATTAATGCTTAGTATTATTTGTCTAGATCAAAGTGTGTTTTACATGTGCAGGATTAACTATGATAGCAAGGCATGAAGCAAAATGAAGTCTCGGAGTCAAGGACGCGATCACTTTGGGAGTTCAAGAGTTCGTCAGAAGTCTGGACGTTTTGTCACGGACTTAGCTAGTTTTGCCTAAGTCGTGTGGCACCCTTGCGTGTCCGTCCGTAAAGGTCAGCCTCCCCGAAGCCTCCCATTGTCCCTTAGGACCAATAAAAGAGAGAACGGGTTAGAGAGAACGCCTCAATCGGGATCCACAAGCAAACATCTCTGAAAAACACTTCATAGACAATGCAAATTACAAACAAACTTTACAAGCTCTGAACAGTTGCACAACAAAGGGTAAAATGGTTCATTACAGACCGAGAATCTCTCGCACGTGTTCACATGACACAACCTTTATTTACAAGCCTAAAGAGGCCACCAACCTAACTAAAATGAGACTATTAAGCCTTCAGTCGTCCCTCTACATGCTGTACAAGGCATGAACATACCAAAAGACACGGACATACATAAGCATTACATCAAACATCCTGTTTAGAAGTTTGTCCGTGACATTCTCCCCCACTTATTCCTTCGACGTCCTCGTCGAAGCCTTTGTTAACACTGTAACTCCTCGCCTTTGCTGAGTCTTTAATCTTCTGCTCCAGTTGTAATGCGTCTCTTGGCTCCCAGCTGCTCTTCGCTGTTGTGTTTGAGTAGTCGAAACTTTGATCCACCATGCTGCTTCAACTCACCAATGACTCTGACTCTGGTGTGGGGTTGGCTGAGTTGTGTTGATCCTTGTTGATTCCTACGGATCCTCCAAATGAAGGAAAAGACCATCCTTACTGTGCCAGTCTCTCAAATTCCTCATGCTGCTTGAATTGGATGGATGCTTGTTGGAGCTTTAACGAGCATCGTCTCGCAAACTTATGAAGTTTTGGGTCCTTCCTCCACAAAATTTACTCATTGACTCTTCTTTCACTTAGTTGTCACATCCAAGTAGGTTCGCATCACTTCCGCTTTCGATTGGCATTTCGTTGGGAAATGAAGCAAACAATCTACTCTCAGTAGCACTGATCACCGTTGGTGAGGATTTGACAACTATTATCTTTCCATTATCTTCGAAGGGTCTTTGAACTTGTGCAGAGCTCCTTTGCTAGATAGAAAAGAGAATTGGGGTACTCAGTTTCGCCCATTCTCTTAAGAGTTGAGAAGGCAAAGGTTACTTGACTTCGCCCGCCTCCTCGAGGTTGTACTCCATGCATCGAGCTGGTTACTGGCCTTCGCCTGCTCTTTGCTCACACTTCTGAAGCACATGAAGTGTTTGCACTCCTTGCGTTGAGTTAGTTACTGTGATTCACCTTCTCAATGCCATCGAACTTTTGGAATACAGGAAGTTTTCACCCCAACTTGGAGTAATTCTCTCATAGGTTTGGTCGCCTCTGGGATTGTACCGTCTTCTCCATCAACCCTACCGCCTACTCCACTGAGTAGCAAAGGTACAGCACCGCGTACTGCCTGCTTCGTTCCTTGGTTATGCACTCTTGCATGACCCAAAGTCCTTCACTTTCAGCTATCTTGATGAGAAGCTCATTGACACCGGTCTTACGAAGTTCCTCGGCCTCTGCCCTTCAGCCTTGTCTCGGTACTTGGAGATTGCCTCTGCATGCTCCACCTCCTCAGCCCCTTTCACGACCAAGCACTCTCCCTCCATGAGAGCAAGGGATCAATGACTT